TCACACAGGGGAGAAACCATATGAATGTATGGAGTGGGGAAGGAGCTTTTGTGATAATGGAGACCTTAGAAGACATCAACAGACTCACACAGGGGAGAAACCATGTAAATGTATGGAGTGTGGAAAGGCCTTTCGTGATAATGGAACCCTTAGAGGACATCAAGAGACTCACACAGGGGAGAAATCATATGAATGTATGGAGTGCGGAAAGAGCTTCAGTTTCAATGCAATCCTTAGACGACATCAACGGACTCACACAGGGGAGAAACCATATGAATGTATGGAGTGCGGAAAGAGCTTTTGTGATAATGGAAACCTTAGAACACATCAACGGACTCACACAGGGGAGAAACCATATGAATGTATGGAGTGCGGAAAGAGCTTTTCTGATAATGGCAACCTTAGAAGACATCAACAGACTCACACAGGGGAGAAACCATGTAAATGTATGGAGTGCGGAAAGAGCTTTCGTGATAATGGAACCCTTAGAACACATCAACGGACTCACACAGGGGAAAAACCATTTAATTGCATGGAGTGCGGAAGGAAATTCAGTCAGAGTGGACACCTCAGCGTGCATCAACTGACTCACACAGGGGAGAAACCATATGAATGATTTGTTCTCAGGAGCTAAGTTTTGTGCCTCACTGGGGTCCCAGTCATAACTGTAGCCTTTGAAAGCTCAGTAAACTATTACTGAAGAAGTCCTGCTGCCTGTGTGTGTCTTTTTGACCTCAGTGTGGCACTTGCTCTACATGTGGCCCCTACCCTGCTGCTACTTAGCTCATGCCCTGGAGTTGCTGTACTCAAGCACACAAGATGGTTTTTGCACCAAACTCTGTCACCCCCACCACTACATGATCTCCAAACACTTCTTCTTCAACAGAACCTCATCCCTGCCCCCGCGTGTTCTGAAGAAAACTTGAAATACTGAAATTGAATGGGAGATTCCCCCCCCAAGCCTAAGTTCAAGAGGGGGAATATGGGGCTGCAGGTACCAGGGAAGTCTCCTGGTGGGCCCATCTTCACTCATGAACCCCATGGGTCAACCTGCTTATTCTGGGGTTTGAGAAGCAGTTTAAATGAAAAGATTGCAAAAAGTGCTTTATTTACAGTGGAGTGTTTAAGGAACATCCAGGGACTTTCCCATGGAAGAACCCATTTAGATGTATGGAGTGCGGGACATTTTCCTTTCAGTGTCCACTCTTTCTTCACAGCAATGAACTCAGCAGGAAATCAGTCTTAAACACACGATGTGTATTTGAAGTTCTTGTGTTTATATGTAAAACTGAACAGCAATGAAATATTGAAGGCAATGTCAAACAATGTGAGTATAATCTAAGTGGTAAAGTACCTTTCGATAGAGAGGATGAATCTGGTTTGCTGGTGGTGAGTGAGGATTAGGGCAGGGCGATATATTGATATCTGGTACAATACTGGTTTCTAGACCACATCTCGATAACCTTTGAAGAACAACTGATATGGCAATACACTGTGAATCACAGTGTGTGTTTCTGGGATGTGCCTGCAAGCAGCGGCAGAAAGCTTTTCTTCATGAAGCCCCTGAATATGCTGAGTTGCTGACTTCCCTCCAAGACGACAGGAAGTGAAACACACACATCCATTGCCCTGTGTCCTTCCAGCCTCTTTCCTCCCTTGCTCCCTTCTGCCGGTGTGTGTGCCTGGCTTAGATATCCTGTATGCTGTATGACTTTACTGCTGAAACTGGATTTGCTCTCAGGAGCTAAGTTTTGTGCCTCACTGGGGACCCAGTGAGAACTGTACACTTTGAAAGCTCAGTAAACTGTTACTGAAGAAGTCCTGCTGCCTCTGTGTGTGTTTTTCACCTCAGTGTGGGACTTGAAATAAACGTGGCCCCTACCCTGCTGCTACTTGGCTCATGCCCTGGAGTTACTCTTCTCAAGCATGCAAGACCGTTTTGCACCAAACTCTGTCACCCCACCACCGCACGATCTCTACACACATCATCTTCAACAGAACTTCATCCCTGCCCTCTGCACGTTCTGAAGAAAACTTAAAATTTAATGGGATATCCCCCCCCCCAGCCTAGTTTCAAAAAAGGGAAGGTGTGGCTGTAGGTATGAGGGAAGTCTCCTGGGGGACCCATCTTCAATCATGAACCCCATGGGGCAACCCTAGAGCTCCTGCTTATTCTGGGGGTTTGGAGAAGATAATACTTTTCCATAGTCCCAGAAGTTATTATTCAGTCATGCTGCTAGGGAGTTTTCCTACCAGAGGACCAGACTGCATATTACCATCATAGTGATTTTACTTGTTGTTTCTGCTTTTGCTGTCATGGACTGGCTGGGTGCGGGGGGGGGGGGGGAGGCACCAGCCGGGGGACCCACAAGGGAAGAAGGCTCAGAGCCTGGGGGCTGGTGTTGGGATGGCAATGAGCAGAAAGAGGTAGAAAATGGAGCAGAATGGGAGGGGAGGTGTTGCAAGCTGAGGAGGAAACAGGGTTTGGTGAGCAGGAAGAGGCTGGGGCAGAGAGCAGTTCAGGGTCAGAGGGAGGAGAGGGGGGCTCAGGAGACCCAGAGGAGGTCGGCTGATGAAGCATCCAGAGAGACTCCCCCTCCTGTTGCGACCAGCTCCCCTCTCCCCTGGTCTCCTAGAGCACACAGAGAAACCTGGTTCAGACCCCATGATCCTGCACATGATATTAAGAGGGTGTTTCCCTGCCCCCCAACATGCATCACTTTAATCTCGTTGACAATGAACTGTATTTTCAGCCCAATCACCCCGTTTGGAGAGCTCTTTTAGGTGCTCCTTACAATCTCTCTTTGTTTGAACAACCCTGGACGATTTACTGCCACCAGCAAACTTTGCCCCCTCCCTGCTCACTCCTAACTCTAGATCATTTATGAACAGGTTGAAAAGCCACAGGTCCCAATACTGATCTATTGGGGACTCCACTTGCTGCTTCTCTCCATTCACAGGAGTGTTCGTTTATTAGTACGTGTTCCTCCCTCCCCCCATCCTTCTGTGCTGCGGAGGGAACCCTGCGGAAAAGTTATGGAGGGGTGGTGGGGAAATTGTTATCAGCTCTCCCACTGGTTCGGTAGTGATGCAACCGTTCTTAGGATATGCACGGTGTTGTTGTTCTGGGGGTTGAGTTGCAGCATTTTCCCAATTTCCCGGCATCGACGGTGTTATCTGAATTGCTGGGACCATCGGGGGGTCTTCATCAAAGACAATTAAATCTGTCTCTGGCTTTCTGTGTGTCACATTTCCCTTGGGAGGAGCGTCACTTGGCATTGGCTGATCAGATTCCAACTGGGGTAAAGAGTGGTGAAATTCTGGATCTGCCAAAGGCGTAATGGAGTGTCCTATCATTGAATTATCTAGATTGGGCTGGCGTTCTTTGTGTGTTTCGCCTTTTTTGCTCTGATGTTTTCTTCTCCAAGGGAGTGTTACAGCTGGATTCACCGCACGTATCCATCTTTGAGGGCCCTTCCAAATGAATCATGGCCCTATGGCGAAAGCCCGTCGGCAGAGAGGGTGTTGATTGCTTGGGGTCGGTCCGGCAGAAAGAAAAGCAAAGCCTACTCAAAGGGAAGCCGCTTCAGCTTCCAGCCTGTCTGCTCCCACAATGGCTGAAGAAAAATTGCCCTTAGGGAATGGCAGAGATGAATGGAAGCGGGCAAGGAAGGTCCCACAATCGCTCCTGCTGGAGGAATAGGGGCACTGACCCTATACTCAAAGGTGATGGCCACTTCTGGAATCCAGGAAGGAATTCTCCCCACACTGGTCACATGCAGCTGGGCTCACTTTCCAAAGCCACCTGGAGGGCCTGCCAACAATTCCCATCATCCCTAGTCTTGCTAGCTTGGGATGGTGGGATCTGTAGTCCAAAAACAGGTGGAGACCCAAATTTGGGAAACCCTGTTCTCCCTGAAGGACAAAGGAGGATTCACTTGAATCAGAACATCAGGTGAGCCCTGCAGGATCAGGCCCAAGGGGCCCCTGTCCTCGCAGGGGCCCAGCAGGGGCCTCTTCTGGGAAGCCCACCGGCAGCACTTGAGCCCCAGAGAAGGGGGGAGGCGCATTTCTTCTAGGGACACATTTCTGGGGTCCCCACGGTGCGCCCCAGCCTGGCTCCAATCTGCCAGGGCAGCTGCGTTTTGTTTCGCTGCAGGTGAGCCTGCCCCGTGCAATGTGGGGCTCTTAGAAGGAATTTGAGGGGGGCCGGAGGGACTAGAGCTTCCCCGCACTTGTGAAACAGCCCTAGGAGCGGAGGGGAGGCAGGCAGCAGGAGGGCGATGGGGAGGAACCAGCGAGAAGGAGCTTCTGGAGCCTGGGCAGCCCCCTCCCCGCCTGCTCCCTGAAGGTTTCCCGAGCCCCTCCCCTTTTCATTTCAAGGATTGGGGGACCTCAGCATCCCGGGGTTGCTTTGCTCCGGGGGGGGGGGAGCTATTTTGTTTGCTGAGGGCAGGAGTCACAATCCTGTCACATTGTGTTGTGTCTGGCTTTTAGGTAAGGGGGTGAGGCTCAGGTGGGAAAGAGTTGAGAAGGAAAATATCCCGGGGTGAGGATTTCCTCCGCTGCCCAGCTCGTCAGGGTGCCCCTCCCCGCGGGTCCCTCCGGTCAGCAAAAGAAGGAGAATCCAGCCAAGTTAAAGAAGCAAACGGCGGTCAGTTGACCTGATCTTTATTTGTTGCAACAAGGTTGAAACACACCAAGAGTAGGAACCCCGAGAAGATGGTTGCATGGATTTTTAAGACCTCTCCCCATTTCCCACAATACATTATTCAACAGCATCTTCGATGCATCACAGATTTGTCACAAAGTAGGAGTCTTTGGCATTCAGAAACATAATAGTATATACACATCCCCCCAACTGCAAGGCTTTCCTGGGCTTCTCCTTTTAAAGTATCAGGATCCTCCTCCTCCTCCTCCTCCTCCTCCTCCTCCTCCAATCCGGCTTCTGTTCCGGGAATAAGGGGGGGGGGAGCCTCCTCCCAAACTGCCTGCTTCTCCCGGAAGAGGAGCTTCTACGCCGGATTGCCGCTCAGCGCCATAGCTCTAAGGGCGCGCCCTTTCGGAAACGGGAGGAGGGGGGGCAGGGGACCCCCCCCCAAAAAAACATCGATGTTGCAGGAAAGGAAATGAGAATCGGGAGCGAGGACAAAGAGGTAAAGGGGTCGTGGGGGGGGGAGAGGGGAGAGAAGGACCCAGAGAGGGACTCCGCTACAGCTCCCCAAAGCGCCTTCCGTGGGCCCCACCGGCAGGGCCTGGATTTCTGCACGGCTGCAGCGAAGGGGTAGGTGTGGACATGGGGCGCCCACCCACGGGGGTCCCACGAGGACTCCCCGGCCCCGTTTCCCCCGCGCAGGCATCCCTGGGTCCCTGTGCGCTCCGCGCGGGGAGAGGCAGACCGTGAAAGGGTTAAGGGGCGCGAGAGACGCCTAGATAGAGACCCCCTGTCCCTCCCCATCTCGTCTTGGGGGGTCCCTCCGGATGGAGAGATGGGTCGCGCATGGCGAGGGGTGAGCCGCGCCAAGGGGGCCTCTGGGTGCAGGGGAGACTCCGGGAGAGAGGGAGGGGGCCAAGGGTGGGGGGAGCCGGGGGGAGGAGGGAGGGGAGCATCCCCGGGGAAGGAAGTGCAGCATTGGTGGGGTTGGGGGGAGGAGACGAGTCTTTGGGGAGACATCTCCATCGTGCGCCCACGAGGATTCTTCGGAGGGGCCGCCTTGCCTTCTCCCTCCCGCCCAAGAATCGGCCACCCCTTCAAGGCGACCAGAGAGGGATCCCTGGAAAGTGGGGGCTCCAGTCCCCCCACCCCTTCCTTCCTGCAAGCTCCATCCTCTTCCCTCCCATAAGCTCATGCCCTGTCCAGACACAGCGAATCTGCCAAGTCCAACCATGGTTCACCCTGGAGAGGAGAGGAAAGAGGAAGAGAAGAGGGGGGAGGCCTTCTCAGAAGCGGCTCTTTGTTTCCGCAGTCCCAACCAGGAAGCAGCCAGAAACCTTTTCCTCTCTCTCAGGCTTTTATCTTCAAGTGTCTTTTCCACTGCCTGCTTCATTGAGGATGAGGAAAATGTACACCTGTCATCAGAAACAGGGGTGCAGAACCTATTTAATTGATCTCAGGATTGATATAGAAGGTGCACCTCAAAGGCATTTCTGTTCCTCTTACTTTTTATAGGCAATGTCAGAGTGACTGACAAGCTGAGATACTTCCCAGTCAAAGGACCCATTTTCATGATAGACAGTGCCTGTGGCTGGAGGCTCTACAGACAGGATGTGCCTATGCAGGTCAAAGACTGCCAGTATTAGCACAGGTGAGCTGTGTGACCTTCCCAAATTTACAGACTGTATGTGAATGAGAGTTTGTGGGTGGGATTATTGTTTACGGCAACCCTGTGATTTTCTCCACCCAAAACATTTTGTGACCTGATATTGCACTACGAATTCCAAAATAACTACAAAAAAATCACAAGATAATACAAATGATTGTAGTATTTATACTCTGCCCATCTGGTTGGGTTTCCAGTACACATAAAAGACAGTAAAACATCAAACATTAAAAACCTCCTAATACAGGTCTCCCTTCAACTATCTTCTAAATGTCAGGTAGTTGTTCATTTCCTTGACCTCTGAAGGGAGGGTACCAGCAGAAGACCCTCAGAGGAGGACCTCAGTGTTCAGACTGAAGGATGGGGTGGAGACACTCCTTCAGGTCTACAGGGCCGAGGCTGTTTAGGGCTCTAGGTTGCAGAACTTGCTCCTTCATAACCATCTCCTAGACTGACATATAGTTAGCAGAGTAGGAAAAAACACTCAGGTCAGGAATAAATTCATATCTCAAGAAATAACACAACTTCAGGTTGTTAATGAATCAGTACTACATATTCAAGGATGAAGTTTCCACTAAGTACAGTTATCCATTTGCCTTTAATATCCAGCTTTTCACTGCCAGATTAGGATAGTCATGTGTCAGAAGACGGTGCAAGAGATAAGGCAGCACATCATTATTATAAGGAACAATGGGGGCGGGTGTTTCCCATTTGCCAGCTGCTTTCCTTCTGCTTCTTCTGTTCTCTCCATGCAATGCAAGGCATGTAGACAGAGGTCCATCTCCAAGAACAGGAGCTTCCCTGAGCACCCATTCAGCTGACCCCAAGCACCAAGCCTTGTCACTAGTTCTCTAACTGACCCAGACCACAGTCCCTGGAAAAGATGTAGACCTGGGTCTCATATAATGGTCCACATGGACTTCCTAAGGCCACTGGGACTGTGCAGGTGATTCATGAAGATCTAGAGGTGGAAACAGAGGTGGATGGAGGATTATGAAGCCGAGGATGGGAAATGTCCAAAGGAACGATGAACCAGAGACAGAGAGGGCCTTTTCATGGAGAGAGAGTAGCTGCATTTCCTGTGAGAAAACAATTGATGTGAAAAGGCTGTTTTCCAAGATCATGCTGCTTTATTAATGATGATAGAGGATAATGAAAGGTTGCTGATGCATTAGTATCATTTGACATCATTGCATCTTCATTTCCTAAAAATTCGGAACCTGGGTAGGGTGCAGGGGAAATATAGGACATGTTGAAATATGAGGTGGTGCTAATTGCATCTGATATGCTCTCTTTTCCTTTGTTCTCTTCCTTGAAACCCAAACAGGATTTCCTTTCCTCCCACGCTGAGGAGGGTCATGGAGAAGAGAGACAGACTTCCAGGGGAAAGGGCACCTTTGGTTTCACTAGATATAGACATTAAAATGTGTGAAATGTTCAACATGCTTCATTGAATGAACACACATAGCTCACATAAACAAACCCCAAAAGTGGCGAAACCATTTAAAGGTATGGAGTGTGGAAAGACTTTCACTGATAGAACACATCAGCCGACTCACATGGGCAAGAAAGGATTCAAATGCAAGGAGTGTGGGAAGAACTTCAGTCAGAGTGGACACCTCAATATACATCAACGGACTCACACAGGGGAAAAACCATTTAAATGCACGGAGTGCGGAAGGAAATTCAGTCAAAGAGGACAGCTAAATAGGCATCAACTGACTCACACAGGGGAAAAACCTTTTAAATGTATGGAGTGTGGAAAGAGCTTCCGTTTCATTGGAAACCTTAGAAGACATCAACAGACTCACACAGGGGAGAAACCATGTAAATGTATGGAGTGTGGAAAGACCTTTCGTGATAATGGAACCCTTAGAGGACATCAAGAGACTCACACAGGGGAGAAATCATATGAATGTATGGAGTGCGGAAAGAGCTTTTGTGATAATGGAAACCTGAGAACACATCAACGGACTCACACAGGGGAGAAACCATTTAAATGTATAGAGTGTGGAAAGAGCTTCATTCAGAATGGAGACCTTAGAACACATCAACGGACTCACACAGGGGAGAAACCATATAAATGTATGGAGTGCGGAAAGAGCTTCAGTAAGAGTGGAAACTTCAATATACATCAACGGACTCACACAGGGGAGAAACCATATGAATGTATGGAGTGCGGAAAGAGATTTAGTGATAATGGAAAACTTAGAAGACATCAAAAGACTCACACAGGGGAGAAACCATTTAAATGTATAGAGTGTGGAAAGAGCTTCATTCAGAATGGAGACCTTAGAACACATCAACGAACTCACACAGGGGAGAAACCATATAAATGTATGGAGTGCGGAAAGAGCTTCAGTAAGAGTGGAACCTTCAATATACATCAACGGACTCACACAGGGGAGAAACCATATGAATGTATGGAGTGTGGAAGGAGCTTCAGTTTCAATGGAAGCCTTAGAATACATCAGCGGACTCACACAGGGGAGAAACCATATGAATGTATGGAGTGCGGAAGGAGCTTTCGTAATAATGGAACCCTTAGAACACATCAACGGACTCACACAGAGGAGAAACCATATGAATGTATGGAGTGTGGAAGGAGCTTTCGTAATAATGGAGACCTTAGAAGACATCAACGGACTCACACAGAGGAGAAACCATATGAATGTATGGAGTGTGGAAGGAGCTTTCGTAATAATGGAACCCTTAGAACACATCAGCGGACTCACACAGGGGAGAAACCATATGAATGTATGGAGTGTGGAAGGAGCTTTCGTAATAATGGAACCCTTAGAACACATCAGCGGACTCACGCAGGGGAGAAACCATATGAATGTATGGAGTGTGGAAGGAGCTTTCGTAATAATGGAACCCTTAGAACACATCAGCGGACTCACAAAGGGGAAAAACCATTTAAATGCATGGAGTGCGGAAGGAAATTCAGTCAGAGTGGACACCTAAATATGCATCAACTGACTCACACAGGGGAGAAACCATATGAATGTATGGAGTGTGGAAGGAGCTTTAGTAATAATGGAGACCTTAGAAGACATCAACGGACTCACACAGGGGAGAAACCATGTGAATGTATGGAGTGTGGAAAGGCCTTTCGTGATAATGGAACCCTTAGAGGACATCAAGAGACTCACACAGGGAGAAATCATATGAATGTATGGAGTGCGGAAAGAGCTTCAGTTTCAATGCAATCCTTAGACGACATCAACGGACTCACACAGGGGAGAAACCATATGAATGTATGGAGTGCGGAAAGAGCTTTTGTGATAATGGAAACCTTAGAACACATCAACGGACTCACACAGGGGAGAAACCATATGAATGTATGGAGTGCGGAAAGAGCTTTCGTGATAATGGCAACCTTAGAAGACATCAACAGACTCACACAGGGGAGAAACCATGTAAATGTATGGAGTGCGGAAAGAGCTTTCGTGATAATGGAACCCTTAGAACACATCAACGGACTCACACAGGGGAAAAACCATTTAATTGCATGGAGTGCGGAAGGAAATTCAGTCAGAGTGGACACCTCAGCGTGCATCAACTGACTCACACAGGGGAGAAACCATATGAATGATTTGTTCTCAGGAGCTAAGTTCTGTGCCTCACTGTGGTCCCAGTCATAACTGTAGGCTTTGAAAGCTCAGTAAACTATTACTGAAGAAGTCCTGCTGCCTGTGTGTGTCTTTTTGACCTCAGTGTGGCACTTGCTCTACATGTGGCCCCTACCCTGCTGCTACTTAGCTCATGCCCTGGAGTTGCTGTACTCAAGCACACAAGATGGTTTTTGCACCAAACTCTGTCACCCCCACCACTACATGATCTCCAAACCCTTCTTCTTCAGCAGAGCCTCGTCCCTGCCCCGCGTGTTCTGAAGAAAACTTGAAATACTGAAATTGAATGGGAGATTCCCCCAAGCCGCAAGTTCAAGAGGGGAATATGGGGCTGCAGGTACCAGGGAGTCTCCTGGTGGGCCCATCTTCACTCATGAACCCCATGGGTCAACCTGCTTATTCTGGGGTTTGAGAAGCAGTTTAAATGAAAAGATTGCAAAAGTGCTTTATTTACAATGGAGTGTTTAAGGAACATCCAGGGACTTTCCCATGGAAGAACCCATTTAGATGTATGGAGTGCGGGACATTTTCCTTTCAGTGTCCACTCTTTCTTCACAGCAATGAACTCAGCAGGAAATCAGTCTTAAACACACGATGTGTATTTGAAGTTCTTGTGTTTATATGTAAAACTGAACAGCAATGAAATATTGAAGGCAATGTCAAACAATGTGAGTATAATCTAAGTGGTAAAGTACCTTTCGATAGAGAGGATGAATCTGGTTTGCTGGTGGTGAGTGAGGATTAGGGCTGGGCGATATATTGATATCTGGTACAATACTGGTTTCTAGACCACATCTCGATACCCTTTGAAGAACAACTGATATGGCAATACACTGCGAATTGCAGTGTGTGTTTCTGTGATGTGCCTGCAAGCAGCGGCAGAAAGCTTTTCTTCATGAAGCCCCTGCAGATGCTGAGTTGCTGACTTCCCTCCAAGACGACAGGAAGTGAAACACACACATCCATTGCCCTGTGTCCTTCCAGCCTCTTTCCTCCCTTGCTCCCTTCTGCCGGTGTGTGTGCCTGGCTTAGATATCCTGTATGCTGTATGACTTTACTGCTGAAACTGGATTTGCTCTCAGGAGCTAAGTTTTGTGCCTCACTGGGGACCCAGTGAGAACTGTACACTTTGAAAGCTCAGTAAACTGTTACTGAAGAAGTCCTGCTGCCTCTGTGTGTGTTTTTCACCTCAGTGTGGGACTTGAAATAAACGTGGCCCCTACCCTGCTGCTACTTGGCTCATGCCCTGGAGTTACTCTTCTCAAGCATGCAAGACCGTTTTGCACCAAACTCTGTCACCCCACCACCGCACGATCTCTACACACATTATCTTCAACAGAACTTCATCCCTGCCCTCTGCACGTTCTGAAGAAAACTTAAAATTTAATGGGAGATCCCCCCCCCAAGCCTAGTTTCAAGAAAGGGAAGGTGGGGCTGTAGGTATGAGGGAAGTCTCCTGGGGGACCCATCTTCAATCATGAACCCCATGGGGCAACCCTAGAGCTCCTGCTTATTCTGGGGGTTTGGAGAAGATAATACTTTTCCATAGTCCCAGAAGTTATTATTCAATCATGCTGCTAGGGAGTTTTCCTACCAGAGGACCAGACTGCATATTACCATCATAGTGATTTTACTTGTTGTTTCTGCTTTTGCTGTCATGGACTGGCTGGGTGCGGGGGGAGGCACCAGCCGGGGGACCCACAAGGGAAGAAGGCTCAGAGCCTGGGGGCTGGTGTTGGGATGGCAATGAGCAGAAAGAGGTAGAAAATGGAGCAGAATGGGAGGGGAGGTGTTGCAAGCTGAGGAGGAAACAGGGTTTGGTGAGCAGGAAGAGGCTGGGGCAGAGAGCAGTTCAGGCTCAGAGGGAGGAGAGGAGGGGGGCCAGAAGACCCAGAGGAGGCCGGCTGATGAAGCATCCAGAGAGACTCCCCCTCCTGCTGCGACCAGCTCCCCTCTCCCCTGGTCTCCTAGAGCACACAGAGAAACCTGGTTCAGACCCCATGATCCTGCACATGATATTAAGAGGGTGTTTCCCTGCCCCCCAACATGCATCACTTTAATCTCGTTGACAATGAACTGTATTTTCAGCCCAATCACCCCGTTTGGAGAGCTCTTTTAGGTGCTCCTTGCAATCTCTCTTTGTTTGAACAACCCTGGACGATTTACTGCCACCAGCAAACTTTGCCCCCTCCCTGCTCACTCCTTACTCTAGATCATTTATGAACAGGTTGAAAAGCCATGGGTCCCAATACTGATCTATAGGGGACTCCACTTTCTGCCTCTCTCCATTCACAGGAGTGTTCGTTTATTAGTACGTGTTCCTCCCTCCCCCCATCCTTCTGTGCTGCGGAGGGAACCCTGCGGAAAAGTTATGGAGGGGTGGTGGGGAAATTGTTATCAGCTCTCCCACTGGTTCGGTAGTGATGCAACCGTTCTTAGGATATGCACGGTGTTGTTGTTCTCGGGGATGAGTTGCAGCATTTTCCCAATTTCCCGGCATCGACGGTGTTATCTGAATTGCTGGGACCATCGGGGGGTCTTCATCAAAGACAATTAAATCTGTCTCTGGCTTTCTGTGTGTCACATTTCCCTTGGGAGGAGCGTCACTTGGCATTGGCTGATCAGATTCCAACTGGGGTAAAGAGTGGTGAAATTCTGGATCTGCCAAAGGCGTAATGGAGTGTCCTATCATTGAATTATCTAGATTGGGCTGGCGTTCTTTGTGTGTTTGGCCTTTTTTGCTCTGATGTTTTCCTCTCCAAGGGAGTGTTACAGCTGGGTTCACCGCACGTATCCATCTTTGACGGCCCTTCCAAATGAATCATGGCCCTATGGCGAAAGCCCGTCGGCAGAGAGGGCGTTGATTGCTTGGGGTCGGTCCGGCAGAAAGAAAAGAAAAGCCTACTCAAAGGGAAGCCGCTTCAGCTTCCAGCCTGTCTGCTCCCACAATGGCTGAAGAAAAATTGCCCTTAGGGAATGGCAGAGATGAATGGAAGCGGGCAAGGAAGCCCCACAATCACTCCTGCTAGAGGAATAGGGGCACTGACCCCAATACTCAAAGGTGATGCCCACTTCTGGAATCCGGGAAGGAATTCTCCCCACACTGGTCACATGTAGCTGGGCTCTCTTGCCAGAGCCACCTGGAGGGCCTGCCAACAATTCCCATCATCCCTAGTCTTGCTAGCTTGGGATGGCGGGATCTGTAGTCCAAAAACAGCTGGTGACCCAAATTTGGGAAACCCTGTTCTCCCTGACGGACAAAGGAGGATTCACTTGCATCAGAACATCAGGCAAGTTCTGTAGGATCAGGCCCAAGGGGAAGCCCACCGGCAGCACTTGAGCCCCAGAGAAGGGGGAAGGGGCATTTCTTCTAGGGACACGTTTCTGGGGTCCCCACGGTGCCCTCCCAGCCTGGCTCCAATCTGCCAGGGCAGCTGCGTTTTGTTTCGCTGTAGGTGAGCCTGCCCCCTGCAACGTGGGACTCTTAGAAGGAATTTGAGGGGGGGCGGAGGGACTAGAGCTTCCCCGCACTTGCAAAGGACCAGTAGAAGCGGAGGGGAGGCAGGCAGCAGGAAGGCGATGGGGAGGAACCAGCGAGAAGGAGCTTCTGGAGCCTGGGCAGCCTCCTCCCCGCCTGCTCCCTGAAGGTTTCCCGAGCCCCCCCCCCTTTTCATTTCAAGGATTGGGGGACCTCAGCATCCCGGGGTTGCTTTGCTCCGGGGGGGGGGGGAAGCTATTTTGTTTGCTGAGGGCAGGAGTCACAATCCTGTCACATTGTGTTGTGTCTGGCTTTTAGGTAAGGGGGTGAGGCTCAGGTGGGAAAGAGTTGAGAAGGAAAATATCCCCGGGTGCGGATTTACTTCGCTGCCCAGCTCGTCAGGGTGCCACTCCCCGGGGGTCCCTCCGGTCAGCAAAAGAAGGAGAATCCAGCCAAGTTAAAGAAGCAAACGGCGGTCAGTTGACCTGATCTTTATGTGTTGCAACAAGGTTCAAACACACCAAGAGTAGGAACCCCGAGAAGATGGTTGCATGGATTTTTAAGACCTCTCCCCATTTCCCACAATACATTTTTCAACAGCATCTTCGATGCATTACAGATTTGTCACAAATTAGTAGTCTTTGGCATTCAGAAACATGAGCCCGTCACCCACCCCTGTCACCCACCCCAGTTTCCCACACCTTTTAACTACAGTCTTTCCCTAAGAACCGTAACAGGATTTACACATCACCTAGCTGCAAGTCTTCCCTGGGCTTCTCCTTTGAAAGTATCAGGATCCTCCTCCTCCTCCTCCTCCTCCTCCAATCCGGCTTCTGTTCCAGGAATGAGGGGTGTGAGCCCCCTCCCAAACTGGCTGCTTCTCCCGGAAGTGGCTCTTCTACCCCGGCTGCTGCTCTGCGCCGTAGCTCTAGGGGCGCGCCCTTTCGGAAAGGGGAGGAGGGGCGGCAGGTAAATCCCCCCCACCCACGTGGATGTTGCAGGAAAGGAAAGGAGAATCGGGAGCGAGGACAAAGAGGTAAAGGGGTCGTGGGGGGGGGGGAGGAGAGGGGAGAAAAGGATCCAGAGAACCCCTCCAGCTCTCCCGGCAGGGCCTGGATCCCTGAATATGTACTGCGAAGGGGGCTTTCCTTGGCAAGGGTGGACATGGGGCGCCCACCCACGGGGTCCCACGAGGACTCCCTGGCCCCGTTTCCCTCGCGCAGGCATCCCTGGGGCCCTGTGCGCTCCGCACGGAGAGAGGCAGACCATGAAAGGGTTAACGGGCGCGAGAGACGCCTAGATAGAGACCCCCCTGTCCCTCCCCATCTCGTCTTGGGGGGCCTCTCCGGATGGAGAGATGGGTCGCGCATGGCGAGGGGTGAGCCGCGCCAAGGGGGCCTCTGGGTGCAGGGGAGACTCCGGGAGAGAGGGAGGCGACCAAGGGTGGGGGGAGGAGGGAGGAGAGCATCCCTGGGGAAGGAAGCGCAGCATTGGCGGTGGGGGGAGGAGGAGACCAGTCAGTAGGGAGACGTCTCCATCGTGCGCCCACGAGGAATCTCCCGAGGCGCCGCCTTGGCTTCTCCCTCGGAAGTGGCTCTTTGTTTCCGCAATCCCACCCAGGAAGCAGCCAGAAACCTTTTCCTCTCTCTCAGGCTTCCATCTTTAAGTGTCTTTTCCACTGCCTGGTTCATTGAGGCTGAGGATAATGTACACCTGTCATCAGAAACAGGGGGGCAGAGTCCATGGAATGGCTCTCAGGATTGATATAGAAGTCTAAAGCATTTCTGTTCCTCTTATTCTTTGTAGGCAGTGTCAGAGTGACTGACAAGCTGAGATACAACCCATCAGAATCCGATGATAGTGTTTGCATGAATCTTCCCAGTCAAAGGACCCATTTTCATGATAGACAGTGCCTGTGCCTGGAGGCTCTACATACAAGGTGTGCCTATGCAGGCCAAAGACTGCCAGTATTAGCACAGGAGAATGAGAGTTTGTGGGTGGGATTATCGTTTACGACAACCCTGTGATTTTCTCCACCCATAACATTTTGTGATCTGATTTCGCAGTATGAATTCCAAAATAACTGCAAAAAATCACAATGTAATAAGAATGATTGTAGTATTTATACAATGTAGTCCATCTGCATATCTATACGTAGTCCATCTGGTTGGGCTTCCCCAGCCACTCTGGGCAGCTTCCAGTACACATAAAGGACAGTAAAACACCAAACATTAAAAACCTCCAGATACAGGTCTACCTTCTGCTATCTTCTAAATGTCAGATAGTTGTGCATTTCCTTGACCTCTGAAGGGAGGGCGTTCCACAGGGTGGGTGCCACCACCCAGAAGGCCCTCTGCCTGGTTCCCTATAACCTCACTTCTCACAATGAGGGAACCAGCAGAAGACCCTCAGAGGAGGACCTCAGTGTTCAGACTGAAGAATGGGGGTGGAGACGCTCCTTCAGGTCTACACAGCCGAGGCTGTTTAGTTTTTTGTTTTTTTTTAAAAGATATTTATTGAGATTTTCAAAATGTTACAAAGAAGAAAAAAAAAGCAGAAGAGAGTACAAAGAATAAAAATAATTGACAAAATAGAAAAAAAGAAAAAAAACCAACCCCTTCCCACCATATAAGAAAAAATTCCAAATGAGAAAAAATAACAGAAAAAAAGAAAAAAAGAAGAATGCAAAAATCACAAAACTTTAAAAGCATTTAAAAACAAATTCATTATTTTCAAATCC